GCTGGACCAATGAGCAGGGGAAATAAACAAGCTCCCACAGGTCCTCGTGCACAGGAATGAGGTGAGTGGTGGTCCGTCTCCACGGTCCCTCACCCCTGGGTCTGCTGCAACTCGGGGATGCACTCACATCACCGTTTCGGAACCGTACCTGTCACGGGTTTGGCCAGTACACAGCTCCCCACCTCGTACCAGACACGGATTTCCAAATGTGCCCCCTCCCCCCGCTATTTGTATTTCAGAAGGACTCACCCCAAGCAGTGCAAGCGGCCAGGGAGCCCAGGACCAGAGCCAAGCACCACATCTTGGGAGGACAGCAGCTCCTGGGCCACAGGTCTCTGTGCAAGTGCCTCTGCCTCCAGGAGCTGTGACCTCCGCCCCTTAGCTCCCCATCAGCAGCTCCCGCCCCACAGCGGCCCTATGGCCTCATCAGGAAGCAACACAAAAGCTCCTGGTCTCCCAAAGGGCTGCTCAGGGCACAGCCAGGGCCCCAAGGCCACGCCTACCCAGAGTTGACCATCCTTTGACTACACAGCCTGGACACAGCTCTCAGGTTACCTGAGTTGTCAAACAACTTGTTACATAAGGGCTTCTCATTGGACCCTTCGACCTGAGCAGGCGGTGAGCTTCCCAAAGAAGCGGACAAGGGGAGGCGGTGGTCTGGGGGTCCTCCCAACACGGCTGCAAACTTTGTGAGCAACTCTCAGCCCCACAGCTGCTCAATTGGGGAATTTAGGACAAATCTCTTAGATTCCCATTTGGTGGTGTGTGTGTGTGTTGGGGAGCGAGGGAGGGGGGGGTGGGGGGGGGGAATGGGAGGTGTGGAAGGGGAGGTGGTGGTCAGTTCCCAGAGGTAACTGCTTCTATAAAGATTGCCTGGCCCTAGCCGGTTTGGCTCAGTGGATAGAGTGTCAGCCTGCAGACTGAAGGGTCCCGGGTTCGACTGTGGTCAAGGGCACATACTCAGGTACCTCCGGTCGGTCTTGGAGGCAGGGGGCAACCAATCAGTGTGTTTCTCTCATGTCGATATTTCTCTCCCTCTCTCTTCCACTCTCTTTAAATGTCAATAGAAAAATATCCTTGTGTGAGGATTAAAAAAAAAATTTAAAAAGAAGGGATTGCCCTAGGGTGGGGTTCCTATCTTTTATCTAGGGGGGAAAAACACGGGTCATGAAGCACACCCAGATAAAAAGCAGCCATATCTCTATCCACATGGGACAATCTGGGTTGTCCTCTAAGCAGTGGCTATTTCTAATCAACACACACACACACACACACACACACACACACACACACACGCACAGG